TTGAATTACTAAAATTGTCTTTGTGGCTGTTAAGATAAGAACTATAATAACAATCATTAGCCAATAAAATTAACTTTATTATTATAGTATTAAAAACTAAGTTATCAATATTACCGTTCTTAAACATTTTATCTTTGTATTGTCTGCATTCCAAATGAAATCGAATAATAAAATCGGGTGCCAAAGCTCATTATTTAGCTATTGTCTGCTGATATAAACATTTAGAGCGAGAACATTTATTGGCTTCGGAATGACAGTATTTAATGCATGTTTATAGAAACGTAAGGAAGGAATTGACTGTACATTACTTTGTGGGTTAAACTTTACTACTTTACGCTAACTTGGATAGAAATCCATGAAAGCAGTTTTTTAGAGTATCTGTCAGATGACCATCGTAGATAAGAACATGACAATGAGACAATACTAAATGTTAATATTAAGATTACTACACCTATTTTCATATAAATGTTTATGGCGTTTTAGTTTACCTGTCTATCACAACAAGCATTCTGCATCACATGAATGCTGCAGGGCTTCGTTTTTGTTTCATGAAATTAATTTTAACAATCATTGTTCCGTGACAACATTAACCGAAAATAAGCTAAACAATAGTATTTACGATTACATAATTGCAACAATTGGCAACGTGCATACGGCTAGGAATATGACCTGCAGAGTGCCACAAATATTAATGTATTGTCGACTGAGAGAGATTGAAAGAGGCATTGGAGCACGTCAAATATTGTTCTTTGTTGAGACCACGGTAATACGATATTGTCAAATTGAACGATATGACATCAAGCTAATTGTTCGAACATAAGAACAATAGCTATGCCAGAACCATCTGGTATTTGCTTATAAATATGGCCTTTCTATCTGCTCTTTTCATCATCGCCTAGCGAGCTGAACAACACATAAAATCATATAAATTGTTCAAAGCACACAAGTCCAAAATCCAAACAGTTCAAACGACTTCACACGAATTCAAAAAATAGTTCAAAGCACACAAATCCAAAATTCAAACAATTCGAACGACTTCAAACAAATTCAAATAAATCCAAACGCCCCAAACAAATTCAAACAAATTCAAACAAATTTCAAACAATTCAAAAATTTGACATGGATGGAAATAACGCTCAGAACGATATCCTCGCCGCTATCATGGAAACCCTTCAAAAGGTCAAGAATTACGGTTCCAATCCACATGACGGTCCAGCTGGCAGCAACTGTTCGATTATGTAGACTACGTCTCTAAAACAATCAACTGGATATTGAAGAAAGCTTACCAAATTTTATATTCTACTTCTCGATGTCTCCGAGGAGTTAATTATTGTTATCTTAATATTTAATATTTAACTAATTGAGCCTAATGCATGTCATGTAAAACAAATATTCACTATTTTTGTAATTAACTTGAAAGGTTTTTTTTACTATTACGATTATTTTAATAAACATATATTTGAAAAAAGACCATCTAAACTACATTTTGTATGAGTGTCATTATCCTAGCAATTGCTCATGTCAATGAAAAACAAAAATTGGCTCAAAAGATATCTATCGTAGACGAATTAATAAGCAATACGTAAAACTTTGACCCACTCCTCTTTACCAGATCAATCAACATTTCCCCCGACTCAACCTTTCTAACTGAAAAAAGCATCTTATTTATAGATGTCTTAGAACAACCAGTAAAATTGGCTGCCGAGAAAATTGATTGTAGAACCTGACATTAACAGTATCGATCTCGTGACCTCGATCAAAATTCCTACGTTCGTTATATTGCATAGCCAAGATTATATTCATTTCTGGTGACTTTACTCTATCCAAGTCTTATTCTCTCAAGGCAATATAATTTGACTACGCTAACAAATAAACTATTATTTAAAACAAAATATCATCAAGCACAGTCAAACTCTTTTAAATGCATCTCAAAAAATTCGGGGCGGAAAATTTCTTTATCTTAGAGTGACTTTATCTTATCGAGTTTGACTATTACTATGTATTTCTCCACCATTCATTGCTTAGAGTGATCGTACGTTTACCACGTACCAATATTCAACCAAGTTTTATAACAAACAAGTATTAACATTCACGTTTCAACAATAATGAGGATTCGATTTCGTAAAGCACCCGTTGATCATGATGTTTTTATTAAAGGACATGATACAATATATATTAAGAGTCTAAATGCATAAATCCTCTAAGTGCATACACCCTTTGAATGCATATGCAATCGATTTTTATAATCTTACATAATATTCTAAATGCATATCACGTGACGTATTATATCAATTTTTTTATGCCTTCTTGTCGATAACATTTGTCTTTTCCAAACAGTTCAACTTCCTCCAACATAGTCTCAAACTGTCATCAGTGGCAGAAGGATAATCCAGGCGGAAGTTGTTATTGAACCGCATCGAATATTGAAGGGGATTCAATTTTTTCTCAAACATTTGAATTATGTTTTGCATACTAGCCTGTTTTCTACTCTTAAGATTCGGCATCGCATAATTCAGTAATATAAAATGAGCCATTACGGTATGTTTGATGGTGGGAGAATAAATGTAAGACAAGAAACATTTCATGAATTAGATGACATGGATAAGTAACAATACATGTATACGCCGTTTTCGTTCTAAGAAGCGTAACCTTTATGTAACCAATTTCCAAAGACAAGACTTCATTTGATAGTAAATTAATAAGAAATTCGATGAGCTTACAGTGTTGCCGCATTGACTTTTGCCAAGCCAAAAAAAAGTGTGTTTTCGGAAATATGTTTTCACGCCTCCACCATAAAACCTTTCCAATTACTCCCCCCCCGACAGTTTATTTCCGAAAAATATTTTAAAGTTATCTTTTGTCGGTACAAGCAAGCAATGCGTAACGTGTTTTAATCTACAGTCCCCGGCACAAATAATGGCGGTGACAATCGTATTTAAAGTTTTTATAAAAATTCAACACAAAAATCGGTTATCTGTTATTATAGTGATATGTAAACGTATCATTACTTTTCTTATTTACTTGATATGTCAGGCATGATTAAAAATACCCTTGTCTTTGTATTTGCATTTCAATAATCTCAGTGAGATTTGGATTGACCATAAACTTATAATAACAGTCTCAAATCTACTATAAGATGTTCGCGCTTTTAGACTTGTTAATTAAAGTTTAGAAGATTACAAGTCGAAAAATATAATTTATTTTCAAAAGTATATGTCAAGCGTATACATAACGAACTTCGTCAGGTGAGTATCCAAAAGAAATTATGTTTGTCAGTGAGTATTCAAAGAATTTTATCAGATGAAAATTTACACAAATAGTAATAGTAAAATGGTGAGCATACACTGCTCCGCATAAAAAATAAACCTCATTTCATCTCAAATAAAATTTCGAATCGCTTCTGTCGACAAGTAAATGCCGTGTAAAGTCGCCCTCTTATAAAATTGCACTGGCGGACCCGAGACTGAAGGAGTTTGTGATAGAAATGCTGTCCGATCGTTGGAATAGAAAAATGAAATTCAATGAAATAAAATGAATAGAATAGAATAAAGAAAGTAGTATAGTTATAAGATTGAGCCCCAACTTTACTGCATGAAGCTAACCATTTGGAGCGAAAAATCAGCTTAATACGGACTAGCACAGAAAAATGATATGTTGACACCAAATGAGATCAGCTGACCTACGAAAACATGGAAGCAAAATTATAATAATGTTAAAAAAAATGATCATCTTCACCCGACACCGGGTTGTAGACAGTATTGCCAGGGAGGTAAGCTGGTGAGAGCACTCACAGTAACGCAACGTCCTCAAGAATAATCGCCTTCCGACAATTATTGGCAGTTAATCATTTATCTCTTTATAGTGATAAAACAAAAGATGTTAAACAGTTCTGAAATCGCTAGTGAACGAAATCTTATTATCCTTCGAGATAATAAGCTCTTACACGTAATGCTCTAACACAAGTGCACTAAACAAACATCTCTGGTAATCGTATCGACAGAGTCGGGAAGCCTCTATTTGATAAAAGTGATCGATAGTTGTTCATCGATTTACTCTGGCTTGGCAAATATGGTTGCTATTTAATTGCGAAACGCGCGTTATATTTACCCTTGTCCCACTTATACTATTAGTCTAATCCCGCTAATAGTAATCGATGTTAAATAGTAAGCCTTTGCAGTCATTTCAAAATGATCATGAATTACTATAAAACGTTAAGTTCTTTTTTATTCCAAAAACAAAAAAGTTGCGGGGGGCTACGTTTATGGTTAAACCAAGTTTTATTATTAATGAAAACTCAAATCTATAACTTGTAGCTTGTTTGGTCGTCGTTACATAATGTGATATCTTAACATCTTTTATTGGTTAGTACCTACCATCAGTGTTTTCTTTAATTGTTTTATTGATTGTATCAAATATATAAAAATTATGTAGCCTGCATATAGTTTAACCAATTATGGCTTTTTCGTTAAAATAAATTTATGATATAGCTAGTCGACTCACCAATCAGGGCAGGGCAATGTGCTTTCACATCCCCAATCTTGGCAATACCTTAACGAACGAATAGATTGTACACAAATGAATGGACAGCTTTATTAGTAACAAGAATCGCTTTACAACCTTTTCCCAACACAGGCGAGAATAGATCTTATGTATGACAGCTCGTTGACGCTCAAATGCTTTGTTCACCAAGCAACGCAATATAATAATAAACAAATTGTATAAATATGTTATAAGAGTATTCCCCCAATGGCCATAGAACGATTTTTTCGACTGAGCTTGGATCTTAGTCAATAACACAGAACAATTTCCTTGACTGAGCTTGGGTCTTAGTCGGTAATACAAGTGTCAAATTCTCACAACTTTGTCGCTTGGTTTTCTCGATCCCCCTAATCCGCATCTACTCTAAACTCAAAGACCTTCCTGATAATATCCAACAAATGACCAAGCTAATCTGTTTAACTTTTATTGCCTTCGCCATTATTGCACTTGCAACTGCCATTATGTCGATGCCACTCCCAGTCGATGAAAGGTAAATGTTATATCGAGATCAAAAATAGAAGAGAGAAAGGAAATTTTCAATGCTTCGAGTAATTGGTGAATCTCTTAATGCTACTACTAAGATTATAACTTACGTTTGTCTCGTACTCATCAAACTTTATAAAACCAAAAGTATCGCGCCGCAGGATCGCCACCGAGGGCATTGCCACATGTGGTGTCTTCCTTACGGTAATGGACCCATAGGAATAACAAATGACGTTATTCCAAAAACCGACAAATCTATTGATGATGCAAACTAATCACATATGCACAGTATTTTATGAAACGAGCAGCTGGGTATACTTGTAATAAAATACTTGATCTGTTCGAATGCATTGTAAATAAGATAAGTAATGTATATATGTGACCAATCTTATATTCAGGAAGAGAGAGTTTAAAGAATAAAACATGAGTTAGATTAGAGTTTTCAACAGTCGTTGTGAAGTTCCCGAAAAAACTTGTTGTACTCTAAAATACATATTAATGATTCGTTCCCTGGTAAACTATATCGGTATAGTTGTAAAACTGTTAATCCATATCGATTAGGAATATCGCTTCTTGTCCTTATAAGTTGAAATGCATTTTTGTCTCTAACAGAAAGAAATAATTCTCACCCCCCTTTAATTTAGCAATACGCTAATAAAAAGTGTAAGCACATTGCGAGGATCCCCAAAATCGCATTCACTATTACTATCGGCCACAAGTTACTATCAAAAAATAAATTTCTTTATTTTCAATAAACATACCTAACGTTAAATTTGTGGGGTTTGAACTAAAACCACGCGCCATTAGGCTTGGAATCTGCTCATTTCATCAGAAGTGACATTCAAATCTCCGGATCAATGAACATTGTATGTATCGCTGTCATAAGACACATCTGATCGACTAGTGTTTATTATCGCTTACACATAAGCTAGGCCAAAGTTGTCGAAGAAAGGTGTGATTAAACTACAATAATTCAAAAAAATGTAATTGTAACATTCAATGTATAGTATTGATAATCAAAACATTAATCGTAGGCTCATAACATTCGACAAATTGTGCAAACTGAAATCATAGTCGTATGTTTGTCATTAAGTTGTACTGTATGACTAGCTCAAAACTGACAATTCGTCAAATGTTAACGTCAATAAAATTGATTTTCAAACGACAATAGAATACATAGTAGTATGACGACGATGAACTACCTGCCAGAGGCAGTTAACAAAGACCTTCTAGTTTTTCTAACAATTCCATTCTCCCACGTGCAACAACCAATGGTCATTTTCCTTCTTGAGTCGATTTGCTTGACAAAATCAAAGCAAGCGTTTGAATCGCCTAATTAACAAATATCAATTGCATCATGAGTAAGACAAGTAGCTGCTCACTAATTAGATATTAACATACTTTCTCATAGATATTGCTGAATCCTGCACTTTTGTTATCTACTTCTATCCATGGTATGTTGCATCTGTCCAAAGCCAAATGTGATTATGATATCAAGAAGCACCATTAGAGTTTGAAACAGCATCAAATGACATTTTTCTTAAACACACATAACCTACTCACATCCTAAATGTCAATAGTTAATAAATATTTCTTATTTTCAGTCAACCGTTTGACAAACTGTGGGGAGGAGAGAACGTAAATACACCACGATCTTTCATCCAGTTTAGGCCTTGCGTTTGATGTCTCATTAGAACTGACTAGCAGATTTACAAGGTTGGAGGATGGTATAAGCTGAATTGTAACTATCACAATAACATCTCTTAAATTTCTCATCCTAACTATTGTACGGACGAATTTTCCTGATCACGAAAATGAAGCAGAAGACCGGGAAGGTTTAAGAAATGATGGGAGAGAAAAAGTAAAAAACATTTTTAACTCCATTTCCTCCGTTTATGTCGATAACATAAATAGCTTACTGTAAGGCTTCGGTTATGGCAATTCGTCGAATTGTTTGTTCTTAAGGAATATTTGTATGAAAATTAATTAATTTACAAAAGCAAATAATTACGCATGTGCCAATTATACTTGCAATCACATTCTACGTCACTGACACAAACACAAGATTTGATTTATATTACAGTATTAGTAATAATGTTTATGTTTGTTGACAATAAGGAAATATTGCTTACGTTCCTGTATTACTATTCCTAAGTCTCTCGTTCCATCTGGGATAATTTCATTTGTGCAATGACAATTAATAAAAAAAACGTGCCGCGTCCTCTTCACCAAACTTTTTTCTCAACGCACGCTCAACGCATTCCGTCAAGACTACGCAATCTAGATGGTTTGTTTTAAGATGAGTTCTCAAAGACGAGTGTTCTTACTGAGATTCTGACTGAGGTTTTAGTTTGTTTAGCTACCAGTCGATCCAATAGGGAAATCGAGCTTGCAAAAAATAAAACTATACCACACCAAAAATAATCTATCGATATTATAGGTGTTTACAATAAAATTATTTTGCACGTATAATATAAGTAATTACGCTATGCCATAATCCACAAAATACTGATGCTAGAATGCAAGCTCTGCTTTCTGGTAAAGTATTCAAGTACATGTCATTGAATAATAAATAATTCATACTTGAATGCGTAATTTTACCTCGCAATGAGAAAAAGTATAATATTTCTTATTATATAATAAATATATTAAAATAACAGGGATTCGTTATTCACATCGTTACATCATGAATTCACGTACATCACAATAGTTCTGCCCCTTAAATCTGGATTAACCAATTATATTCTTCTTCCTAAAAAAAGTTGGTTCATTTCGACTACGTTCGTTCAAAGCGGATAATCTCCAAGTACCAAATACTCAAAGCTAATGGAATGTAATGTTCTAAACTTTGCAATTTTCCATCGCTTGAAATTACACACCCTAAAGATTGATTTGGGACGTGGTGATGACATTGTCGAACTAGCGTATACTGTCACAAAACTGGAGTCGTCATTATAGTATCATTAATTGATCTAATAAATACTAAATGTTTTACATTACAGCACACCCTCTTTCAAAATGAATAATGTCCTGACTCTCACTACACACTTTGATCTAAAGGTGACACCAGTCTTAATTTAGCTATACAATATTGGCTCAGACAAATTTATCGGAGCAAACCTCCCGCCTTTCAACATTAACAATGTCTCAAGTACCTAAATATTCGCACAAAGAATGGCTAGAGACAAGCATTCGAGATGGTTCAATTTTTTGCTGTCCAGAAAGTGACATTAAATTAGACGACAAACCTATTGGTCTTGGTGCATCTGGTGCAGTATATAAGGGAACCGTAAATTCAATCCAAGACAACGTTCTTTCCTCCGGAATGAATGTTGCGGTGAAGACTTTGTTACCAGATAATCAATGCTATTGTGAAGAAGATTTGTACCAACAGTTTGTCGAAGAGGTAGCCTATTAACTTTCCGTTATGCTTGCCACATTCATATTTGTGTATGCTTTAACTTTGAATGATGTTAGTTAAAACACCACAAGAATGCGAACGATCATAACAACATTCTTCGCTTTTATGGCTTGTATAAAGGTACCTTGAATCGATGGTATCCTGTTAACTTGACTACAAATCGTAACATCTTATTTAATGCATATAGATAAATATGATAACCATCATCTGATCTTCTCCCTGGCTGACAGAGGAAGTTTACATGAGTACCTAAAGAAAAAGTTCATCGATTTAACTTGGGAAGACAAATACAAACTGAGCTTAGGAATTACCGATGGACTCAAATATTTACATAAACTTGATATTGTTCACAAAGATTTGGTATTTATCGCACACGCTGTTTGTATCGTCTGAACTTACGTTACGTTAAACTGACGGGGCATACCGTTTCCTTCTCTAGTCATCGAATAAAATTCTTATCGATTCTCGAGGTGATGCAAAGATAACCGATTTTGGATTATCAAGAGTGTTGAAACAAGCCATGTCCAAATCTAGTGGAGATGGCGCTCTCGCATACAAAGATCCGGCATCTTTCAAGAACATGTCATATCAAGTTGGAAAAAAATCCGATATATTTAGTCTCGGTGTAATACTATGGGAAGTATCCAGCGGAAAAGTTCCATGCGGAGGACGTACTGCAGCTGTTGACGTTATTTTGTATAGGCTTGAGGGCTCTCGTGATCCCCCATTTTCTGAAACGCCGGAAGTATATATTGATTTGTATTCAGAATGTTGGCGTGAAGACCCCAATAAGCGGCCCTTTTGTGAAAGTGTTTATAAGAGGTTGAAGTCTTGTGAAGAAGTGGATCATTTCAACAAATCGTTGAAGATCAATCCAAATGATGTATGGGCGTTGAAAAATAGGGGACATGTCTATTTTGATTTAGAGCAGTACGACAGGTCACTGAATGATTTTACCAAATCGTTGGAGATTGAACCAAATGACGCATATGCATTGAGTCGAAGAGGAGTTCTCTATATGAATTTACAACAATACGACAATGCACTGAACGATCTCAACAAATCACTGGGTATTGAACCAAATGACGCATACGCATTGAGTCGAAAAGGAGCTCTCTACCTAAATCTACAACAACACGACAATGCACTGAACAATCTCAACAAATCATTGGAGATTGAACCAAATGGCGCATACGCATTGAGTCGAAGAGGAGCTGTTTATCAATATCTAAAACAATACAACACTTCACTGAATGATTTTACCAAATCATTGGAGATTGAACCAAATGACACGTATGCATTGAGTCGAAGAGGCGCTGTCTATCGACATCTGAAGCAATACGACAATGCACTGAATGATCTCAATAAATCGTTGGAGATTGAACCAAGCCATGCATATACATTGAGTCGAAGAGGCGCTGTCTATCGATATCTAAAGCAATACGACAATGCACTGAACGATCTCAACAAAGCGTTGGAGATTAAACCGAATGACGCGTTTGCATTGAGTCGAAGAGGAGCTGTCTATCAACACCTGAAACAATACGACAATGCACTGAATGATCTCAACAAATCATTGGAGATTAAACCAAATGACGCATTTGCATTGAGTCAAAGAGGAGCTGTCTATCAATATCTAAAACAATACAACAATGCGCTGAACGATCTCAACAAATCATTGGGGATTAAACCAAATGACTCCTATGCATTGAGTCGAAGAGGCGCTGTCTATCGACATCTGAAACAATATGACAATGCAATGAACGATCTCAACAAATCGTTGGAGATTGAACCAAACGACTCATATGCATTGAGTCGAAGAGGAGCTGTCTATCAACATCTGAAACAATACAA